GGGTGACAACCTCTTGGTCCTCTTCAATTAACTTTTTTAAATTTCTCCCACAAAAGGGAGAAAGAAAAGAAAAAAGTTGTTGTTTGAGACAGGTTTACCTTGTTTGTCTTTGGGTGACAACCTCTTGGTCCTCTTCACATTTCTTTTTTAAATTTCTCCCACAGAAGGGAGAGAAAACAAAAAGCTGTTGTCTGAGACAGGTTAACTAGATAACAGGTATTCAAGCAGTATAATAGAATTTCCCAGTAAAGAAAAGATATACAAACAATAAACTCACCAATGCTGTAATGCTGCAATCTGATGATGATGAAAAAGAACTAAAAAGTTGCTCTTTCTCCAGGTCCCAGACCATGATAGTTGATACCTCTCCAGAAGTGTACTAATAATGTAACATTCAAGAACATATTACAGCACTTTCAACATTACCTATTGGCAAAAAAATTAATCCACAAAATTACGTTCGTAAAATATCTACCAGATATCCAGATAACTGTTGCCAGTCCACCACAGCGTTCACGCTTCTTACACCAGGTTTATGGCCTTGAATAGAAGAAAATGCAGTAACAAGCTTTTGTTTACCCTTCACGGTGTAATCTTTCCAAATACGAATATTTCCATCACCTACATGAAAGATAATATTTTCAGCTCAATTCACAAAGAATCTCTAAAATTCTAGCAAATAGCCAAATAACTTTTAGCAAAAGAAATTGAAAGTATTACTTGAAGCTACAAGTAGCAAGCTGTCATCAAGCTCGTTGACAAGGCAGAGCTTAGAAATTCCTTTGTCAGGAAAATCATGATTCTCAAAACCATTGAGAAGGGTAGCCTCCTCATAATTCCACACCCTGAAAAGAAAGAAGTGCTAAATGATTAATAGTCAAGCAAACAGACAACCCAAGTAACAATCACCAAGAAATCACTTGCATATGTGAAGCCAAAGAATGATTTTGTAATTACGAGTGCTAAATGATTAATAGTCAAGCAAGCAGACAACCCAAGTAACAATCACCAAGAAATCACTTGCGTATGTGAAGCCAAAGAATGATTTTGTAATTACAGTGATCAATCAACATACTGCTTCAATTATCAAGCTTGCTAGGTGTGTAAACAAAAAATAAAAAATGCTCATACTAACAACATTCCATTAGTCTTAGAGGGTGTTTAGAATTACCCAAGACCTACATATCAGTACCCAATCCTAATTTACCTCTTTCGCAAATTTACTATTTTAAGAAGCCGTTAGTAAATTTAGGATTATTGATAAATAGGTGGTCTTTGGAAGAAATAAGCCGATGGTTATGCATATTTTAATACGAGAAAAGTAAAAAACTCAACCGTTACTTCTTCTCTAATGACTTAAGGCCTATTTCTTAACATGTTATTACCTGTTAACCCAGTAATTCTTTCTATTAAAATATAGTAAGTACAGTGCTTTTTTCTTTTTACAAAAAACTGCTTCTATCCAACCAGACAACTGCTATTTTTTAAAATTACAACCCAGGTGGTTTAGGTACTAGTGCTTCAAATACATTCTTTAACAATAGTAATTTTAATTCTAAAACACAAGGACTTTGGGAGAGATACTATGCAAAGACAAGAGAAATACTCTTTTTAAAAAAAGAAAAAGAAAAAAAAAAGGAACCTGCAAGGAAAATTTAAGGAGAAAAAGATTTTTAGCTATACTGCTGTAACACCTTGTTTTACTAGGATGGCAAAAACTACAGAAAACGAATATAGAAACATTAAAGAATAGAAACAAGATCCAACCACCAACCAAAAAGTTGAGTTATTACGATGACCCAATCTCATTTGGCATGGGTTTAAACAAAATTCAAAAACAGTTGCAGTGCACTCTCAAACAAACAAAAGGACATGATCAAATCAAGGAACCACACTTTGTTGACAACATCCTAACAAGCTTCAA